AACATGGCTGACTTTGGAACCGGCGTTTTTTTTTTTTCGTTCTCTACTTAATTGCTTTGTACTGAGTTTCCTGTTTTTAAAGCTTACTTAGGCTCTGCTTTCTGTACTGTGTTGTGAAAACTCAATAAAGCCTGAATAATAAAAAAAAAAGGAAAAAGTTAAGAAAAACCTTTTATTAAATATTTTCATACCTCTATATAACTAGGGACAGGGACACTAAAGCATTAGGAGTACAGTTTATGCTTGGACAATGGGTTCCCAATAGCAGCACAACTTCCATTCGCAGTGCTACCCTAAATTCTTCCTCAGCCCTGCGTCCATGACATTCCTCCATCAACAGTGAACGTACGGATGATGTCACAGAAGGAGGATCAAGCTGGTAAGTCTATTTTTCAATTTCTTAATATTTTTAACTCATGCAAACATATGTCTCCTTCATCAGAGTTTACAGGAACAGCACATGCACTGGCTTTTTTCCAGTGTCGTCAGTAAATGTTAACAACAAACTGTTGCTAGTTGTAGTGGTTGTTGATAACTAAAGCAGTATTGGCTGTTTCCCAATTGCAAAATCTCACCATTAGTTGCTGGGTTACTGGCAGATGTTACCAGTAGAAAATTTTTGTACTGTATTCTTCTAGTAAGCATGGCTGATAGGGAAGGTGAGGGGGTGGGATGTCACATCCGCCCGCCCATTACAAGCTCGGCTTGCGGGAAGGATACTGCTTTCTTCTTCTGCTCCACCAATGACAGGTAGCAATATATTGTGGGCAACTTTATGGGCTGCCTTGCAACAATAAATAGCTTGCATGGGGCCAGTCAAATTACAGGAAAAAAAAAAAAAACTAGGTGGTGCAGGGTCTGTCAGGGAGATCTTTTGATCTAAATTACACGTAAAAAAGGTGGTAACTGATACATTTTACCCAGTGTCCGTGGAAATTTTTTTCAAATGTTTGCAATTATAGCATTCAGATACTTATACACAATGCTGGACATGCACACCCAGTACACGTGTATTCACACACTCACTGCTTGTGTGTGCATATAATTCTTTTTCAAGTTTAGTTTTTTTTGTATTACTTTGGAAAGGGGGATTTGGGGAGTGCTTGAGAATTCTGTGCATACAGGCACTAGTGATGTAAATTCAGCTCTGCCATTAGAAGTAATGTTTGACATTTATGTAATATTAGAACTGCAGATTTCATGCTAACATCATCCTTCATTCCATGTCTAAATGAGTTTAAATTAATGGAGAACAGTGACCTCCTGTGGTTATATTATAATTTACACGTTATTCAATCATAGCTTTTTCAAGAAGGGATTTTGTTTAATGTTCAATACTTTTTATTTATGTTTTAAATGTTCAGATATCTATTTTTTAAATTTTTATTTTAAAACCCCAGTATTTCAAAAGAGGGCCAGTAAATTATATTTAAGTTATTAACTATGCCCCACATTTTTTTTACACTTTTGAGAAACCAGCTTTGGCTCAATATATGGCAAAACATTTCACAATATTTACTACCTTCTATTTCACAAATTTCTACCATGCTCAATAACTGATTTGTCATGAAATCTTGTGCGATCTATGTGTAAACCATGATGTAATATATGACTTTAGAATCAAATAAAATCAATGCCACTAAAGTTGTATTAATCATTGGGGCTCAGAGTACTGCCCCCTTCCCCCCTCTGCACGTAGTCACATGATGAACACAATGTTAGATTTAATAAAGTGTCCATCTTTGAAGCCAGCACTGCCTCTAACCCGACTACTGCAGGCATTATTACCAGTAAGTCATCTGTGCAAAAAAATACCTATTTAAAAAGTGTTAATCTATTATTTTATTATAGATGTATACAGGGGTCAAGTCCTGGGAAAAAAAGTGTGGGAACTCACCCAAGACCCCCCACACCCCCCCCCAAAAAAATTATACACTTGTATGCATATATATTTCTCAAAAAATACAGTGCAACATTTATTGTAAAGTGCTAGTTTACAAAGACATCTCCAAACTACAAATGCAATAATGGCAGAGCTCTCTGAATGTGCAAAAGGATTAGAAGTACAAATTATTAAAATTGGAAAAGTTTTTTCGGTTAGATGGGTTGCTTCAAGCCAGAGAGCTATACGAGCAGTTTGGGAGTCGTATCCTGCACTACACAGTCATTTCTTGAATGCAAGCTTAAGCTCAGCTCATAACAGTAAGCAGAAATCTCAAATTAGTGGCCTTAACAAGGTCTTGACACCAGAAGATTATTTGTTAAACCTTGCAGGGGTTGCGGATGCTGTTCAGGAAATCGGACTGTTATCTGAAGCTCTACAAAGAGAAGACATCACACTTCACAAGCCTATCAGCTGATTAATCGTTTTGTTTATGCAGTTGAAGAAAATGAAAGAAGTCATGGAATCGCTGGAGAAAGGGAATTTCAAAAGGTGTGAACATCAATTCAGAGGGTTCAAAATGCCAAGTGAGAATAAATCTCCGTCAATTTTATAAATGTTTGGTGGATAAGTTACGCTCCAGACTCTTTGCTTTAACTGTGAGCAACAGACCTGCAGCTTCATCACAGTCAGGTGAATTTAAAACTCTGGTTTCTGAAATTAACATCCTGAATTCACAACGCTGGCCAATCAATGTGGACAGTCCGTGGTTTGAACAGGGATGTCAATTAGTCAATCTTATACATTACTGTCCTGTCTGTACAGTGGGTGTACCCACTTTGCTCTCTGTGGACCGGTTATATTGGAGAACTCTCTATCAAAGCTATCACTTTCTCGTCTTTCACCAACATTCATTTTCTTTCTTGGGCATTTGCAATTCCTAGCTATATGACCAGGGATATCACAATTATAACATGTTGAATTTCCTTATCAGTATTTTCTCTTCCAGCCTCAGTTTGTGAAGCAGAAACCACTTCTCTCATTGCAGCCCTATACTCCTTAACTTCAACAACTTTCTGACTTTCTCTATCGTTCTTAAAATGCTTTGCAACGGCAACAACATACTTTAAACTTTTCTCTTCCCAACCAATCATCACTCTTTTTATTCCATTCTCTAGTTCCAGTAACAATCCTCTCACAGAGACAGCAACTATCAAAGGTTCTGCATTTCTCTCTAGGTAATTTACACCACTATAAGCTTTTATCAATTTCTTAATTTTGGCAGAAAATTCCTTAACATTGTGTAGCAGTGTTAATCTCAGTCTAGTCAGTATTCTAACCACTTTTTAATTCTCTTTAAACCTCTTACATATAGAAGCCTGTGATTTGACCATTTTGCTGGCTCAGAATGTATGAGTGCTATCTGAGCCAGCACGAAAGGAACAGGATTTAATTTTTTTTTCTTTAAAGCTTATACAATTAACAGAGTGAGGGAAAACCTATCTTCCCCTTACAGGCGCCCTGCCGGCAAGAGAGAAGATAACGTCAGTTGCCAGCAAGCTGTGCAATCAGGAATAGTGTACTGTACTGCCTAAATAACAAAATAACACAGTATGTGCAGTGTTTCGGCTACTCCTATGGCAGCTCAGGACCCTGAATAGAGGACAGCTAGGATGTATGGGAAATGGTGCACTGTCCAGGCGGGCCAGATCCCCCATCAGTCAGTGTGGGCTGTGCTCACTCCCTCTCTGTCAGTAGCAGTGGGTTTTCCTGTGCACACTGAGCTCAGGTACCTTTATCTAAGAACTTGGTGACTTTAAAGACCCCCAGGCTGCCGGCAGCTACTGGGTCCGGTCAGGGAGAGCCTTGCTGGGTTCTGCCTTTACTACTTCTCTTGGAGGTGGACATGCTGCCCAGCGGATCACTGGGAGCACCAAGCGTGCTCTGCCGGCAGCATACCTTACTGGGCTAAAGGCAGCGAGGTTACGCCCTACCGTAACATATTGGGTAGAAGCGCCACTGCCTGGCCTCGCACAGTAACACGGAGTGGAAGGATTAGTCTCTTAGGATAATTACAGTAGCAGCAGCTATGCCGGCTGTGAGGCTGTGGCAGACTTGTTATGTCCTGGCAGACAGTCTATTATAGATACTGTGAGATTATATAACAGCAGGACAATGATAACTTTCTCTCAGATCGAATCCTTGTTACAGCTAGCAGTGTTAGACATTGGGAGCTGTGTGTTTTGTGTCACTGTTTACCCATAACAAAGATGATGTCCCTGGTGTGGGCTGTCAGGCTAGGTAACAAGCAGTGACAGGGCACTGACTGTGTAACCAATGATGCGGCTCTTCTGCTGGTGGTCAGGGCCGATGCAAGGATTTTTGGGTACACAGTCGAAGATGATTTTTGGTGCCTCCCCCCCACCTAAAAGCATCCTTCACCTGTGTGCCTCTTAACCTGCCTTTTGTTTCGTATCCCCTTTTTAAAATATCTTACCCCTTTAGTGTATCTTTACCCCTATTTTTCCCCATTGTGTGTCTTACACCTCCCTCGTGTATCTTTTACCTCCTTTGTGTGTCTTACTCCCACCATCCCCTTTGTGTGTCTCCTTCTCTCCCAGCCCCCTTGTGTCTTTTACTCTTACCAGCTCCTTTGTGTGTTTCTTTCGCCACCAGCCCATCTATCTACCCCCAGCCCCTCTGAGTCTCCTTTTTCTCTTTTTCAGCCCCTCTGTGTCTCTTTCACCCCTAGCCCCTTTGTATTTCCACCCCAAGGCCCTTCTGTGAGTCGCTTTCATCCCCAGCACCTCTGTGAACTTTCTCACCCCAGGCCCATCTGTGTGTCTTTCTCCCCCCTCATGTCCCTCTCTGTGTTTTTCTCCCCACTTAGGCTCCCCTGTGTGCCACTCTTCCCACCATATCCCTTAGTATTCCTCTCCCCTCCCCTCCATGTCCATTAGTGTTGCTCCCCCCCTTACCTGTCTCTTAGTGTCCCCCATTTCCCTTAATGTTCCTCTCCCTTCTCTTTTAGTGGTCGCCCATACCCCAGTGTTCCTTTTCCCTTCCCTCCCATGTACCTTAGTGCCCCCTCCCTTAATTTTCCTTTCTCTCCCTTATAGTGTTCCTCTCCCCTCCCTATTTTTTAGTGTTCTTCCCCCCTCCCCTATCCCACGGTGTTCTCTTCCCTCTCCATAGTGTTCTTCCCTCCCTGTCCATTTATTTCCCCCCTCCCACATGGTGTTTTTCCCCCTCTCCCATAGTGTTCTTCCACCCCTTCCCTTGTCCCATAGTGTTCTTCCACCCCCCTCCTGTCCCATAGTGTTATTCCTCCCTGTCCATTAGTGTTCTTCCCCATAGTGTTCTCCCCACCCTCCTGTCCTATGGTGTTCTTCCACCCCATCTCATTGTGTTCCTTACCACCCCCATAATGTTCTTCCACCCCATCTCATTGTGTTCCTACACCCATAGTGTTCTTCCACACCCAACTTATTGTGTTTCCTACCACTCTCCCTCCCCATTCCATAGAGTTCCTTACGACTCCCCTTCCCCCATCCATAGTGTTCCTTACCACTCCCCTCCCCATTCCACAGTGTTCCTTACCACTCCACTCCCCGCCCCATAGTGTTCCTTATCACCCCCCATCCCATAGTGTTCCTTACCACCCCATCCTCCCCTGTCCCATAGTGTTCCTTACCACCCCCCTCCCCTGTCCCTTAGTGTTCCTTACCACTCTCCCTCCCCATTCCATAGAGTTCCTTACCACTCCCTTTCCCCCATCCATAGTGTTCCTTACCACTCCCCTCCCCATTCCACAGTGTTCCTTACCACTCCCCTCCCTGTCCCATAGTGTTCCTTACCACCTCTCTTACCCCTGTCCCATAGTGTTCCTTACCACCCCTCCTCCCCCTGTCCCATAGTGTTCCTTACCACCCCACCTCCCCCTTTCCCTAGTGTTCCTTATCACTGGGTGGCTTACCGACTGGGTGCCTCCGCCAATCGCTGCTTTCTAGCTGTCGCCGAGTACCATAAGCACCGTAGCCCCTTGGCCACCGCAGCTTGGCTGGGGTCTCTCCGTCCCTTCTCACCCTGGACCAAACTCCTGGATCCAGCTCCCAGTGAGAAGACCTCTCCTACAAAAGAGTATAGCAGTGTAGCTCTTACAAGAGCTGGTGATTATAGTTAGTATAGCGGTTCCCTACAAACTGGAGATGAGACTCTATCTTAAGGGTAAGCAGGAACTGTTTATTGGCAGCCACAACTGGCCTTATATGCAGGTCCCCATGCAAGAGTAGACTACAGTAAAAACATAAACATGATTACATTGACTCTCAGGTCCAGGACACTCCCATACAAAATTGGCCAATCCCTCCCCTGTGCCTGGGAGATAATTAAGTCAAACTGTAAAAAACTCAATTATCAAAAAAAACCACACATTTCCCAAACACCCCAAAAGTTACATCTCCCAATAGAACCGATCTGGGTGACCAACAGAAATAACCCAGATTGGTTCAGGCGTTCAGGATTTTCCTGGAAGTCATAATTTGACCGACCACATTGTATGGTCCTATGCCCAAAATAGTTACAAAGAATGGTGGCTAAGTACCGCTGGGGACCGATGCGGAACCGCAAAGTCTTCATTTCGAAAATAGTTCCAGGGCATTCGCGGCTAAGTCTCTCTGAAGTCTATTCACAGTTTTGGTCCATGTGAACGGCTGCCAGTGACCAACGTTCGGTTCTAAGCGCACGAATGGAAAGTGCCGAATCAAGATAACCAAGGGGAATAAAATATGGGTTTTTACAGTCACTGACCTGGCCCATAGTCGGTGGGCAGGATTCCAGCTTCCACACTCCTCCATCCCATAGTGTTCCTCCTTTCTTCCTTACCACCACTGCTATTCCATAGTATTCCTTACCAGCCCCCCTCACCTGTCCCATAGTATTCCTTACCACCCCCCACAGTGTTCCTTACCACCCCCCCAGGGCTCGAGTCCTGCAGGACCGCGTGGGAACAGCGTTCCTGCACTTTTTTCCCAGCAGGAACGCTGTTCCCCCTGCAGGCACTAAACAGGGGGCGGCAAAAAATGCCACCCCCCAAATGCCCTGTGTTCCTCCTGTCATGGGGGGGCCACAGCTGTCTCCCTGTCACACGCGGCGAGGGAGCTGTGTCCTCTCTGCTCTGCTCCCTTGCGCGCCGTTTGCTGATGCTGGGAGACGGAATATGACGTTATGTGTGTATGTGTGTGTGTATGTCTGTTAGTGCATGTGTGTCTATTAGTGTATGTGTGTGTATGTGTCACATAATGCTCTGTTCTGTGGAGATGTCTGGCCTTGGCTTCTGGTATCCAGTACTCTTTTTACAATTCTTGTTGGGTTTTTCTGTTTTTTTCTGGCTTTCTGGTCTATGTCTGGTTTTCTTTATTGCTGGGATTTCTGGGTTCATTCCTGTAATCCATCCATGGGATTCCCAGTCTCTTGGATTCATTTAAATGTTTGTTTTATTTGCCACACCCGTTTGTTTTCCATCATTCCTTTTTGTTTCAGTGTCCTGCAGGCAGCTGCTCAAGGCTTCTGCCCTTTCTTGCAGGTAAGTGCTATATATGTCTTATTTGGTTGTTTTAGCATACATTAGGCAGTGTAGGACCTGCCAGATATGGGGTACATTGGCGTTGTTGTCCAGCTTATGCAATGTATGATCATATACTGTAACTTAATCCCCATCATTTTCATATATAGTGCTTAGTTATTTCTCCTCTTGTTTTACCCAGTTTCTCTTGTCTTGTTTTATTTTGTAATTCCAGTCCATGTACAGTCCTGTCCAGTCATGCCCATGTTATGTTCATGTT